TGCTGCTCCCACCCCACCGGTCGCATCCGCTGCACTCCAATCAGGAAGCAGCACGTGGTGCACATCATCTTCCCTTCCCTCCTTTACTTCTTGCTGTTTCCTTGCTTGATAGCAGTGCTGGCTCTGAAGATGAGCTGGCAAAGCATGAACAGGGACAGAAGTGGGAACCTGTGACCTCACTTGTCTGTCCAGGGTCTGCACAGCCTGTCTGGGGTGGGATTGGTTCTGGTTTCTTGAAGCTGCCAGAAATTCCAGCAAGCAGAAAATACAGAATCGTAGAATCATCAAGGTTGGAGAAGACCTCTGAAGTCATAAAGTCTGACCATTAACCAGCCACTCTGCTGTTACCCCTAAACCCTAAACCATACCCTCCAGTGCCAGATCCAGACACCTCTTAAACATTTCCAGGTATGGTGTCTTCAGTATCTCCTGGGCAATTCCCTATTCCGGTGCCTGACCACCCTAACAGGGAAAATTTTTTTCAAAAAATCTAATCTAAATCTCCCCTGTCTCAGCTTATGGCTATTCCCTCTAGTCCTCTCTCTGCAGCCATGGCAGGAGAGACCATCCCCCACCTCTGTACAACCCCCATGAGAGAGCTATGAGGTCACCCCTGAACCTCTTCTCAAAACTAAACAAACCCAGTTCCCTCAGCCCTTCCTCATACAATATGTTTTCTAGACCTAAGGCCAGACAGAGACCACTGGAAGATTTCTCTAAAACAGCAAATTTCTGTGTTTCCTCTTGGTCTCCTCCATCAGTTGAGGTTCTCACTGAGCCTTTGTGTCCTAATTTTCAGAGCAAAACTTTCCTAACCACTGGTGGCCCCTATGTTTTTCTGATGATCAGAGAAACATTTTCTGCAGTGAGAACAGTCATTCACTGGAACAACCTTGCCAGGGCTGTGATAGTCCCCATTGCTGGAGGTTTTCAAGATATAGTTGGGCAGGGTCTCACCTAGGCTCCCATTCTCCCAACAAGAGGTTGGACCAGGTGATCTTTTGAGGTCCCTTCCAACCTGGGCTGCTCTATGACTCTGATCTCTTATCTAGCCCTGAAGCTGCCTTCAGTTTTTGTTTTGAAGAATTTGAGTATAAAATCTTCTCTGCATTCATGGGAAAGACCTGGTCGTTGTGGTCCCAGCATCATGCTGCTTAGTCTCCAGATGTGCTGTATCTGCCTGTTACCCATCTACCAGGGTGATTAGCATGAATAGTAACTTCTCAGACATGGAAATTACTTGCCCCCAGCTCAGCTTTATCTTCTCTCTGTGTTCCCAATGGGAGAAGTCAGAAGCTGCTGCACTCAGGGATGAGCAAAGCTGATTTTCCTAAAATGACTTGTGATGAAGACTCTCCAGTGGAGCAACCCAGGCTGTAAAATGGAAAAACCTGACACAGTTTGGGTTGAAAACCCAAACCAGCAGCTTCACTGGTACAAGGTGGTTCTTAGATATTAGCTGATTCTGGTGACAATAAGCAGACCATTTTTTTTGAGACACCACTAATATGTTGTTCTTTGTGAGACAGCAGTTATGTAGCATCTGACAATCTCCGTGGGTCTCTCTGGGGCTTGGCAGGTGTCCAGCAGACAGCCTTCATTCGACAGGATTTGTTCATGCCTTCCCATCACCCCTAACCCTTCTGGGGACCCTTTGCTCCATACACAGCCCAGTCCACTGCTTGCCATGCTGGCTCCCCACCCAGCTGCCACTGCCACTCCATCTCAGTCATCTCCAGCTGTTGGGATAAAGCCACCTCCTTTCACTTCAGGCAGGCCCACAAAACCTTATCTGCTGGGCCTGTCCTTTTCAAGACACTCTCCTGGAAGGTTTGTTTTGCTTGTCTTTCCCCTTCCTTTCGCACCTTCACGTCAGGAGGTATCTTGTCCCCACTTGGGGAGCTCCAGCAACCCAGTTGCTTGTTGTGTTTTTGTGGCTACTGGGTGCTGCTGAAACCTCTTCAGTACACATCAGGAGGTGAAATTCACGCCTTTTTCCCCTTTTGCTGGAAGTGTTGCCGCAAGGATATCGGTGTCTCCGGCCACAGCTACTGTCAGGTTTTGTGAAGAAGGGTTTCCTGCAGGGTCAGCATGCTCCATTGTGTTGGCATTTCCCCTGCAGCTGGCTTCCTCCCTCCTGCAGCACCTAAATATAGTGTGAGTGCAGTGTCGGTGAGAAAGGCCATCCGGAGAGTCCCAGCACCGGAGCCGCTGGGGCAGCAATTCCGTCGCCGCCTCTCACCAAGTTGGCCCTGGAATCGACGCTTGTGTTCTTTGGGTCCTGGTGATTTTGTTTTAAAGAGCAAAGAAGCAGGAGCCAAAGTTCACCCGTTCCAAAGTTTGACATATATGTAAGGGAATTTTAAACAAGTCAAAACCGTTATTATGTATCTGGTGTTTTAGAGAAGGGTTTACTTCACTTGACTCTGCTCTGAGTGCATGCCCTTTGGACTTTGCTCTTTAATTATCAGGAGGTTGTTTAAAAGCTACAGAGATAAGAAAAACCTTAAACATGACAAGCACATACAAGCAGTGTTAATCTTGAGCTCTGTTTATATGTTAGGGCTGTTCCTAAAGGAGAGCTGACAGACTGATTAATAACTGCAGAATGTTTTGACTCATAGGAGAAGAAAATGCTTCATTGAAGGGATGTGTCTCCCAAGCATTAGCAAGACTCACTGTGTTGCTGTTACCTCTGGGATACCCCATGTTCTTTAATATTATGATTTTTTTAAACTCAGTGTACATTAAAAATGAGGAGTGCAGTCTTGCCTCTTTCATCATTGTTTTGTTATTTTTTGCATGTATCAAATTGCTTTTGGGTGGAAAACAGGGTTCACTTAAAGCAGAGTAGAACCACAATACTTGAGAATATTAGTTAACCAAAAATTTGCTAAGTATATGGGATACACCAGGAGAAAGCTGTGTTTTTGGAAAAGGAGACAAATTTAACTGAGCTGGTAGTGTCTGTCTGAGTAATCACTATGGCTTCACCAGTCTCATGGTTGGTGAGACCATGGTCATTACTCATGGCAGCAGACTTGAGCCGTGAGCTAAGCTCTTGTTTCCTGAATGAATAATCTTTCATTCCTCTGTTTTCTGAACCCCTACCAATGCGTCGTTTCAAGCTTTGAATCAGTTACGGTGCAAACTGGCTGTGCAAATTCAGTAAGTTAAAGTAAAAAAAGTCTTCTTCACTGTAGAAGAACCTATAGGAGAAAAAAGCCAGATTTTATTAAATGAAGTGCTTAAGCCGTGCTTTTCCTTTAGTTTTATGGTTCATCTGCCTTTAAAATGTTAGCCAGATAAATATTTGTATGATGTTTAATATAAATAAACCATATGCCTTATTGTTTATTTTAAAGGATGTGCTAACTAATCATTTTCATCTCTGCTTAAATATTTAAAGCAGTATGCCAGATGAAGTAGCTGCTACAACTTTGAGGACTCTGTAAAACCCTTGTGTTGCCTTCTACGTCCTCTGCCTAGTACTGCTTAAGCTCTCCACGTTCCCTCTAATTTTGGAGGTCATAGAGTTTTGGTGTTAGCAGCTTCAAACACTTGGAGGCCCAACTTGTGTTCTACTATGTCTGCTGCCACCTCTACTCATACCTCCTAGGCCCTAATTCTGCACACCTGTACTTACCTGCCCCAGGGAGTCTGTCCAGGCACTCAGATGCTGTCGTACAGTGCTCTGCAGTAACGTGTCTGCCTCTCGCTCTCCCTTGCAGGAATCTACATCCTGATCGCAGTTGGAGCTGTCATGATGTTCGTGGGGTTCCTGGGATGCTACGGTGCTATTCAGGAGTCTCAGTGCCTTCTGGGAACGGTAAGAGGCACAAAGCTTTGGAAACCACTTGGCACCATGATTTCCCTCCTGGGCAGCACACAGCTGTGCCTCCCTTGCTGGGTTTTTTCCCAACAAACGGAGTTGGGAGGATGCCTGAGCACACAAGTGGGAACTAGCTGACCTCTGCAAAGAGCAAGGCAGTGGTGTTCAGCTGAGGGTTTTGCTGCCCAGCCCGTGGAGCTCGGCTGAGCTGGCAGGCATGCTGCAAGCTCCTGTTTGTGCCTGGCTGCAGGGCAGAGGCTGAAGCCAGCGGCATAGCAGAAGGGGTGAGATCAGCAGGATTCTTAGAGACTCGTTTTCAGTGTTATATGTGAACCCTTCCTTGCTTTTATTCCCCCCCACGGTCTGTTTGTTTTACCAAGCACCCACTAAACCCTCCTCCATACCTGGTATCCCCTACAGCTTCCCCTCTCACTCAGTTTCAAGGCTGCCTCTGGCAATTCCAGTTCTTTGAAGGAATCATCTGCTATTTTTATCCATTTGGACAAGGAAACAGAAATGACTTCCCACAATATCTTAGTGAGAACATCTAGGTACATCCTGGAAAATGCACTACTGAAGTGTTACAGGCGTCCTTGATGTGAGGCATCAGCTCAGGATTCCTGGCACAGGATGAGCTTAATTGTATAAACTGTAGCCACACCAAAAGCCTTTGCCTTGAGGATAAGGGAGACCCATTTATTTAAAGCAAGTTATCACATGTGGTTCAGCTTTAAACTCAGTGCATAAAAAGAAATGAAAACTGGAGAAGTAAAACATTAAAATTTATTTTGTTTTTAAATGGAAATGACTTTCCAACACTTGGCTTCCTTGGGCTGGTGGATTCTTGGTGGTGGTGTAGTGACCCACCGATGTGGACTCAGCTGGGAAAGAGGGAAACGGAGCTGCTTTCCCTCCCTCTTGCAGATAGATGACTTCACTTCTGGTTGCTGCTGTTTCCCAGTAAGAAGGGGGTGCTTTATAAAGCACTTCTGAATGCCAATGGATGGGAGCTGCTGTAGGAGCTTGCAGGCGTTATCCCTGCTGCTGGGAATAGGAGGAGCCCGTGCACAGATCTGACAGGGGTTGTTGTAGCGAGGTCTGGCAGCTTTCGATTCTTTTTTTTTGTTGTTGTTAACGCGAGTGATTGCAGACCTTGAATTACCCCTCACTCCCTCTCCAAGTTGGAAGGAGGATTAAAAGGGCAGATGATACAACGTGCCTGAGACCCAACAGGGAAACCGGCTGCTTTGGCTGAAACTAGCAGCTCTAGCTGCTGTGCACGGCCCATGTTTGCTTGCACTTTGGCTTGCCAAGAGAATGCTGGAGACGCCTCGTGAGGGTGCTTTCCACTGGCCAAGGCTCCCACTGTGCTCCAAGGACATTTCCAGGCAGCATCCTCAGGGTGTTTCAGGGAAGCAGACACACTCTCTGCTCCTGCAGCTAGCTGATAGAGTGACTACAGGTTTATTGCAAAAGGGAAAAGTATCAGGAAGCTTCACACTATCAAAATCCTGTGCTGAAGGCAGCATGGAAGCTGAGTGGCAAGACCTGAGGAAGGCAGAAGGGAACCGCTTGGTGTGGAGCAGGCTCTGTTCCCCAGGAGGGGTCTGGGGCACCTCCAGCTGCCTGGCCAGGAAAACCATTGTGTTCCCATAGCATCACATTGCATTTCTTGGTGTTCTGCAGCCAGCTTGCAGAACAGCTGAGTCTGCAGGAAGTTGAACTTCCAAATCTGGGACAAATGAGCCATCCTTCACTTGAGGGTAACCACTGCAAGAGTGAGCCCTAATGCTTAACCAGAGACTTATAGTGGCATTGTGCCCACGCTTTAGGGTGATGTGAGTCCTTGTGGTGGTGTGAGACCCAGTCCCCCAAAGATGTTCCTATAGAATCAGGGTTAGATAGGTGTTTAAATGGGAGTTGGTTGTTCAGGCACTGGACAAGGATGTTGGAAGTCGTTTCCTGCTGTCAGGTTAATAGTCTCGTTTCCATTTTGCTGGTAACCCTTTGCTCTTGCATGTGAGAGCCAGGTCATGGCATCATTCTGGAAACTCCTGTTTCCTCTGTTGTTGAAGGAAATGTCCTGAATGTGTCTGCAACGGAGATGACTCAAGAGCCCTATACTGTGATTTGGTCTTTCCCCAACTGTATTCATCTCTTTCGCTTCTTTACTTCCACGGCAGCTCTCCCAGTTTGGGGCTTTTCCCAAGAACAAGCCACTGAGTGATGTTGTCATGGAGGTGCTGTTGGCTGGAGTGTGCCTCTCTATGCCTTCTCATCTGGCTCTGATGTATGAGATTTACAGCTTCCTATTCCCAGTCTAACAGACCAACCGTCATAACATGTTCTTGAGATGTGAACAAAAAGATGGAGGGAGTCTTTGGGGGACTGCTGGAATTACACAAACAGGGTGGGACTGTGGGAAAACGTCAGTGATAGTATTTATGCAAAAAACTGCAGTAGCCTTGCAGGGCTGTGGATGCTAGAGGGTTGGCCATAAATCACACCCTGACACTCCCAGCTCCTCAGCGGCTGAAATGTGTTTTTAACCCTGCACTGGCAGTTCTCATCCTCAGAACCTTTGTGGCAGAGGAAGTACCTTGTCTGGATGGTTCTGCAGGGGCGTGGAGAGGAGCAACATGTCTTGTGGTGCACAGGCATCCTCATCCCTGCCAGTTCCTGTGTGGCAAAGGCTCTGCTAATCCCCACTCAGCCATCCCAGTGGGAAGTCTGGACATGGGGTGGCATCCAATGAGTTACAGGAAAATGTGTTTGGGCTAAGCACATGTATGAGAGTTAAAATGATTTGAAGTCAGATGACACCTTGCTCTGATCTCCATTAGTAGAAGTGCTGCTGCACACCTCTATCAGCCTAATTGCTGCTTTTGCCTGTTGCCAGATGTGTTAAGGATCCCTTTCTTGATTTGTCTTTGCAGTTCTTCACTTGCCTGGTGATCCTGTTTGCCTGCGAAGTTGCAGCTGGAATTTGGGGATTTGTCAACAAAGACCAAGTAAGATGACTCCAAAATCTGTTTGTGGGACTGGGAGGGTGGGGCAGAACTTCTGTAGATCCCAGCATGAGCTGTTCTGCTCACAACCTACTCCCAGACTGAGTCACGGGGGCTTGGATTAGCAGTGTGACCCAGGCAAGTCACCTAACTCCTCTTGGCCAGGCTGATGAACTTTAAATGTGAGCAGTTGACAGTAGCAGCTGCCCCTTAGGGTGTACGGGGGTATGTAGTGCAATGTCTGGAATAAAAATAGCTTGTCTCACTTGGGTCTCCTCTGTGCTGCCACACTGTCAGTTACAGAGTAAGTTGAGTCATGCATGAAGTTGTGAAGGAAAGCCATCTGCACATCCTAGGTGCCAAGCACGAAGAGCATACCCAGCCGCGTAGTGCCAAAGGGAGGGAATACTGTATGGGGAGAGCCTGCATTAATGGGATTGCTTAGTGATTCCTGCTCTTCGCCCGTATCATATAACCTGTTTCAGGCTGTTTGTCTGCCAGGGCTGGGGTTGCTGCTGATCCATATGCTATGTATGCATAAGGGCTACAAGTCCTGTGTCTGTCCCAGGCACCCTGCTAGGGACTGCTTGGATGCGGTTTTCTGGCTGGAGGGGGTGAGCTAAAGGGTAGAACTGGAAATTGCAGCTTTTCATCTTCTGTTTCTGCTCACTGTCCCTTCACTACAGTCACATGTGCTCACACACATGCAGAGTTTGGTCTCAAAGAGCAAAACTGTCCATGTATGGGAACCGTGGCTGTGCTGCAGCAAGCAGTGGGCTGGGTGTTGATCACTGGGCCTCAAGGGTTTGGAGGAGAGAAGGAGACTGCTTGTGCTCAAAGCCAAGGTTAGACTCTCTAGCCGAGTAGCAAATGTGTTTACTAAGAGACGTAAGCCAGCTGTGTAAGTAGGTGGTGGCTTGCTCAGCTTTCACATGCCTGGTGGGCCACAGAGAATGGTCTGGGCCATGAATGGGAACACCCTCACAGTCATTCAGCATGAGAGAGCATGACTTCACTGGAATAAACTCCTCTGTGGCTAAACATGTTATTATGCAGCCAGGGTGCTGTTTCCTAGCAACTTTAGTGAACTAATTAACCTTTGCAGAGGGGCTGTGCCTCCTGTAGATGGTAGTTTGTGAATGCAGAAGAGTCCAACATGCACAACTGCCACTGACAGCAAAAAAAAATGAAGGCTGAGTAAGGAGGGACCCCATAGCTGTTGTGTTCCTGGGATGAAGGCACTCAGCCATCAGAGCATAAAGCTGAGAAATTTAGGATTTGCCAATACAAGAGTGATGACCTCAGCCCCTAAAATTAATTTTGCTGTTTGAAATGAAGGGTGGCAGTCTGTTGGCGTCAGCTGGTTTTGCAGCCTTGATGATAAATGGGCTGTTTTGAAGTCCCTGCTCACATGGCAGGTGGCTTGCTTCTCCCTGCCTCTGTTGGGAGCAACGCAGGCTGGGAGAGAAGCATTGAATAATCCCAGCCACCAAGAGCTGCTCCCAGCAGGGATGCTCTTCCACAAAGCTGGAGACAGTCTCTCTCTCAGCCTGCTGCCCTGGAGATGCTTTAGATTCAGGATGGGGAGGGAATAAGTAGGATTTTTATTCTATTTTTTTCATGTACCAAATGGTGTGATTGGAGAACATCACCCTCCAAAGCAAAGTGTTTTAAGCAGTGACGAAAGAATTCTGGGATAATTGAATGAAGTCATGCTCCTTCTTGCTGCAGTTTCTTTTCTTGTGTGCTAATTCAGCCTGTGCTGCCAAGAGCAGATGTTCCAGAAAGTGTTTTCCCTTTCTTGCTCATACATTTTTCTTTTGCTTCTTTTGCATGTCCTCTTTTCATCTGTCACTTCCAAATTATTGGAGGGTGTTAGAGGACAAGTCACAAGACCAATTTCCCTGAAAATTAGGGGGGGTTTGCACTGTGGGGCACACCCCCTTGGGTGGCTGCAGTTTATCAGCCCAGGTGGCAGGACTAGAGTATGGACAAGACTCCTCATATAACCATTTACAGGATGGCGGTGCCCAGCTCCAGTTAGGGACCCAGCTGGAGTTTGGCATCCGTCTAAATGCAGCTAAGTTTCTGGACCTAAATGAGCTGCCTCACTAGACTTTAGTGTGCCATCTCTTCCAAGTTCCTACCATCCCCTCCAAGTCAGACAGGAAGCCAAGGTGCCCCTACCTGCAGACAGCCTTGCTTGCACACCTCACTTCCTCTGAACTTTTGCAGCGTGTCCTGCCTCTGCAGCCTCCGTGGGAAATGTGTTGTCTGCCTGCTCGTCTCCATGTGTCAAGTGGTTCAAAACAAGCTGTTCTTGAGCCCAGCAGCATGTCCGTGTGGGCTGAAGGCTATCTCAGACTTGTCATTCACCCTTGGCTGTCTTTACCTGCTAGAGAGAGCTCGCAGAGCCCTTGGATAGCGCTGGCTGGAATCTACTGGCTGGTTGCTGAGTTTCGTAGTATTTACTGCTCTTAACATGCTACAGCTGGAGGGGCTTAAGCCCTGTGAAAGACAGGCCTTTTTTCACATGCCTGTGCAAATAAATGCAGTCCAACTCTTTAAGAACTGTTCATCTTCCTGCAAGTGCTATTAGAGGAAACCTGTCCCCTTCAGGCACATCTGTTGGATGGGTTTATTCCTCCTCCTGTGGCTGAAAGGGAGTTTTTCCTGTGTCTTTCCTAGGTCGCCAAAGATGTGAAGCAGTTCTACGATCAAGCGTTTCATCAAGCACTCCAAGCAGATTCGGAGGTGAACAACGGAAAAGCTGTAGTGAAGACCTTTCATGAAACGGTAAGATCTCTGTGGTCATGCTGCATGTCCTGCTTAGGCTGCATGCAGTTGGCCAGAGCCAACGCTGGTGGAAGTGTCTTTCGTGCTGCAGGACCTAGATAACTTCTGCATGCAGTTTGTCCATGGGTAAGTGGTGAGGAGCAACTACCCCTCTACATGGACTGATCCTCCCCATGGAGGCAGAGGTGACAAGTTGAACTCTAAGTCCTAGGGTAGGGAATGAAGGCAACATTGGATTTTTTGATGCTTAGGAGTGAACTGGATCAAATATGTTCACAGAATTGTGATTTTGTTGCCTGCTTTCCAAGCTCTTTTCCATAGAAGTTTCTTGCAGCCAGAGGAAATGATAACGTGGGAGGACGGAGAAAAAATAATGGGGGTCAGGAAAATGAATGCGAAAAGCAGAGTCTAAAGCAGATGATGTTACATGCAGGTCTTAGCCTGTCAAGTTTGCTGTTTTTACATGGCAAAAAGCAGAGTTGAGCCCTCTTCAGTATTCTGTCATTCATACTGTGCTGGGAAGTCTGGACCAAGCTTTAATCAAGTTGCTTTTCATTTACTTCAGCACCCCTGATATAAATAAAATTCAGTAGAAGAAGGACATAGCTCTGAGGAA